CGCTGACCGGGACAGGGGCTCGAGGCGCGCCCGTGCCGCTGCATGAGTCACCCGGCTGTATCGGAAGGCCCGGCAATGCGAAGGGGCAGCAGGTGTCCTGTTCCTGTTGGCGCAGTGCGCAGTCCGGTTGGACGGCCCAGTCGCTCCGTCCAACACGCTGTGTGTGCGTGTTTGGGGAAAGGCTGAATATTGGGAGCATAGGATGGTTTGCTTGCCGGATCCGTGCACGGTGCAGTCGGCAGGCGGTGCCAAAACGAAACACGAGCGCCAAGATGGCGCTCATGCTTTTTGCTTTGGCGACGGAATCCCAACACGGAAAATTTGGGAGAACAGTGCAGGGTTTTGGCGCACCAGGGACGGCTCGATGCCCCGCTGCCCCATTTGGCGTGGATTGACTGCGTATATTAGAGGCCAACAGAAGTGTTGCTCAACGTCGCCAGCTTGCGAATGTGCAAGACTAAGGCAGCTCTCTCTGTCAGCATTTGGATTTTCATGACACTCATCAGAATTGTGTGAGGCTTCTCACGGAATGCTCCTAAACAGGCCAACCCCCTGAGACTGGGAGAAATTGCTATGATGTTGGACAACCTGGTGGCATTTCCAGCCAACTGGCATATATAGGCGTGTGTCCACGGAGCTTCGAGGGAATTTGGCTTCCGCGCGCCCCAACAGCACGCAAAGCCCCATGTCCGAGGGCCGCGCCGAATCACACGGCTGTTCGTAGTTCAGATTTGCTTCGCGATGGAGTGTGTCAAGAATTTACAAACATGCACAAAGTACGTTCTAGCGCGGGAGCAACGGGGTTATTCCGGGCAGCGATCGAATGTGTGGATGCTTGAGTTTATGTCCCCACTCCAGAAAGAATCACGAGTTCCCGAGACTGAAGCGCCAATGGCGCGACTCTGCATACGTGCCCTGTATGTTTCCGGGTTTGCAAACAATTAAGGCACGTGCACCCAAGCTTCTAACCCTCGATGCAGCGCTCTGCAGCACATGGCCTCAACAATTCGCTTTCGATTGGCGAGACTGAGTGCTCGTGCACATGTGCACATGGGATTGAATTCGGCATATATATGAATATTTATTCCATGTGTTTTCCCGCAGTTATGTTCACGTGGAGCTTTGGGATCTTGACCAACTTGAGGCAACGGGAACAAGAGGGTTTGCGAGCCAATCGGATTTTGCTGATGAGCTCATGTTGCTAGCACGAGGTGCTATACCTAAGGTGAATCGACTGCGGGTCATTCCAGTAAGGATGTGCGTTGCAATTGCAGTCCTCCCAGCTGTCAAGTGCGCATGCTAGAGATTTTGAGGGTGCAGGAATTGTGGCGACCCTAGTGAACCGCGGTGGTGGACACCATGCCAAACAAGATATCGGGTGCAGTCACTGCACTGCAGTGTTCAAACTTTTCGCTGCATGCATGTGTAGTGCCGTCAGCGAGACAACGACGTTGGATATCAAAAATTCTAGTGAGAAATGGATCTTTAGGATGTGCTCATGTACCGTTTGCGTTACTTTGGTAGCCAATGTGCACTGGCGCTGCTGTGGGCCAAAGGTACCCGAGCCCCAGCTCAGCTGACATCCCGCCTTACCATTGGCAGTACAAAACAAGTGTGGGCACGGGCCCTCGGACAGACAAGAATGAGAAAGATACCGCATGCAATGCAGGCAATCGATGTTTTACATTTGCCAGACCATGCCGAAATTGAATGCATCTCACAAACTCCTCATGTGTCTGATCCGTATCTCTGGATGTCCAAACTTCACGGATGGCGCCGATGCGCGAAATGGCGTTGTATGTACTCTGCATCGCGATGGTGAGGTGGTGATTTTCGAACAGGTAGACTACTCTTCGAACAATGGCTGGGAATTTTGGCCACCGCTGTCTCTGGACCCGAATGCTTCGGGGACCTTCCACGACTCCCAGGGTTGGAAGGCCTTGAGGCCATACCATCACGTCTACACGCCTGCAAACCTGCCGAGATATTCGCCGCTGCCTCCTTCGGACGACGGCTACTGGGCACATGGAACCGATGCCCTGGGTCTGGAAGGCGATTCATGGTAATTTGCGACAGACCGGTCATCACCACAAACACGGGAGCCAGAGTAAATGCCGATTTCCTGATCAATGGAAGAAAATGCGAGCCTAACGGGCCAAGCTCTTGCAGGATTCAGTTCCGCTCTATGTGCTACTAGCTGCACCGAAGAATCCCGCTCAATCCCGCTCGGAAGTTAAGAGACGCCTGGCTCCCTAACCGCGAAGTGCTGTGCATCACAACAAGCAGCAAGCGCGTTCGCCAAATCGGCGTCGCGCTGGACGGGGCTGAACCCATGGGCGAGCAAAAACAATTTTTTGATTGACAGTTTGTTGGGAAGAGGCCCCTCGTCGCGCCGCACAAACGCCCAGCCCCGGTCCCTGGGTCCCTGCATTGCCAGCCAGGTTCCCAAGTCAAGCAATGCTTTCTGATTTTGGCCGTCAACATTCCATTATTGTCCGACGCCTTTTGCCTGCAGATGAAGCGGCGCCGTAGCGAGCAGCCCCCGCAACTGGCACTGGCGGTCTCCTGGCGCCCCTGGCACTTGGTTCTGGCAGGCTACTCTTTCTCGTCCCCCCTGCATCGCGATCAACAACACCATGTCATTCGTCATGCCCCTTCCGTCCCCGAATCCGCACATTACGCCATGATCCAGCAAGCTTTCGCGTAGGATTCGAAATTCGCCAATAAGAAATATTACACCAGCAACACACCGAGGACATGTGAAGGCTCCACGCGGCGCGGCATCATCGTTCACGGGGCAGTGCGATAAGTGCCTCTGAGCAATGCACCGCGGGCGTGTCCTTCTGCTTGCATTTCCAGATCATTGCGCCAGAAGACCATGGCCCATTTTTATCTGAACAATGACTGTTGTGATTCCCTTAGGACACGTCTGATTTGCTTGCCTTCATTGCAGGTATGCAACCATTGTCAATGCCAACCAATGGATAAGGAAGGATCTGAGTGTTTACACCATCAAGGCATCGTGCGCTGAGGGCATTCCTTGCCCGTCGCCCCTGCCGTATGGAGGGGAGTGCGCAGGCCGCGGGACGTGCTATCGCGAACAGGTGAGCGGCCCAGGCCGATGGCCTGCACGATTTATTATGACATGAACTAATGCGCCTCCTCCAGGCGCCCTTAACCGATGACCCAATTTCAGAACTTGAATAGCAACAATGTGCGTTACAAGAGTTATGAAATTCGCTGCCCGTGCAGAGCTTGCCGTTAGGATTATTTCAGATGTTTTTAAGCGCAACAACGAAACAGGTCACGCAAAATTGATATTCCTTGTGTCGACCGGGCTCCTGGAGATACCATCTCTTCTTTGGAGGTATACCGTACAATGGCTGTTCATCTGTGCATCACACAATAGAAGACGGCAACATTTCCCCCGGAGGCTTCCGCTGAAGGCCCTCTGATATTGATCCTGGAACGTGTGCAGAGTTCAGGCTTCCCAGCAGGATCTTGTGCCTGCGAAACAGGGTGGGGAGGCGTGGGCTGCAACACCAAGCTTGTGAAGCTCAACAACACTGAGGAAGTATCGAGGAGTCTCGATCCATCCGGTTGGGACTTCTATGAGGTCCAGGTGAACACCTTTCTGCGCTGTGGGTGGGTTTGACCACCCACAAATGATCAGCGATAGAAGCCAGATCGGCGCGCCTTTGGACATCGATTTGGATTCCGCCGCAATGTGAACCCAACCCGCAGGTGTCATATCGCCATTGTCGTGGGGACACTTGCACGAGCACGAGAGGCGTCCGCCATCTCAACAAATGCAGAACATCACCAGCATCCCCACCATCTGCAGATGAGGGTGTCAGATCCCTGGCTCGATCGCGCAGAGGACCTTCCCAAATCCATGCCAAAGCACCCCCCCGCAGCGCAGCGTGGCCAAATAACCCCTCTTCTATTTGCTCACTCGACGAATTGGAACGTTCCAATGTACGTCAGTTTTCCACAGGTACCACCTGGAACCACTACGCTCCTGGTCGAGATGCGGCGCAGCTCAGGAGATCCCGCCCTCTTTCTCAGGGGCTTCCTCTCCGGCCAAGAGCCAACCGCCGTCCCCAACGCCAACGAATTCGCCGCTTTCGCAGACGTGGATAGCTTCCGCGCTCGTCTCAACTACCACTACAGACTCCAGACGGACGTCGACCGTGAGTCCTACGACAGCCCCCGGTTTTATATAGCGGTGTACAACAACGACGTGCACATGAAAGAGGAGGCCAAGTACGTGCTGAGGGCCTCTTGGGATGCGTCGAGGCCGGGGTCCAACGACAGCCTGTGCCCAAGCCAGTGCAGCAGCCGGGGGCGATGCGTACTCCTCTCCGCACACACTAAGCCACCTTTTGAATGCCATTGCGACGAAGGCGAGTGGCAGGCGGGAAGGTAGTTTCCCACAGGCGCGCCTGACATAGCCGCGGGCTGGCGTGCAAAGCTGCTATGCCAATTGTGCTATTCTTTTCTTTGGCATCGGTATTGTTCATGCGGCGCCAAACTGCACTCGTTGGATCGTCACAGTCAAGGAGCAAAGAACGTTTCGCACGGGGCGGCATCGTGGGACAATGTGTTTAGTGCCAAACCGCTGCGTCGGCAAGCAGTTGCCTTGGCCCAGAGGTGCGCAACATGATCGTTGTGTCAAGCTGCACTGCCCGTAGCTATGCGTTCATCTTTTCTTATATTGGAGGAGCTCCTCCCTTCTACTATGGGCTGCTGCACGGCGCAAATTTCCACACTACGTGCATACATTCCATTAGAAACAGAGAGAAAAATGAATGCACCCTGTACCTGAAAATGCGCTCTGTTCTCACACTCTTCGTGACCTAGAATTCGCACTCAATTTGAACAAGTAAAGATGGGGGCACCGAAAATCGCGGCCGGGGCAGGGGAATAGAATTCAAGCAATCTCAGACGCCCAAGGAGCTGCAAGCCTCCACGTCGCTGAGAGCTGTGACCTCCTGGCTCCATACAGGTTTCGGTGGCGCCATGTGCCAGGGGCGCGAGTACGTCATCGATATGGACGAAACGGTTGGGCGCACGCTGAGCCCTGGCGAGGTGGACTATTATGACCTACCCTTGAACACTATGAATGTGGGCGACTGGGCAAGGGGGATCTACGTGAAGTTCGCCTTAATGGCCCCGGAGAATGCGCCCACTGGCCACGCGTGCCTCGTCGCCAAGGCCAATGGGTACCCCACGCTCGTGGATCACGACCACAGATTCACCACCAGCCAGGCTTTTGCCGGCAGCACGCTTTTCAGGGTAAACGGGGACGACATTCGCCCAGGCGTGCTGGTATTCGCTGTATTCAATGTCGACTACTTCAAGCACTCCGACATCAGGTGTGGAGCCAGCAGTGTCGCCCGTTGGACTCAGCTAATCGCCGGCTGGCCTTCGTGCACCAGGGTCTCGTAGAAGCGCCAAATGACCATTTTCTACTAAGGGCTTCCAAGCAGTGCGCACTGGTGGCCCATGGACCGCTTTTTGAAACGCACATTATTGTGATTCCTGTCCAAAAATCCACAGGGTTGATGTTGAATTGCAACCGTCTGATGCATGTGCATCATTCTTTCAGGAGTGCGCAGCAGACAAAATGCGTGAATAGTGCTGCCGTTGTGCTCTCGTGTACATGTTGAAATTGGTTTCAAATAGAAACTTTTGATAGGTAACCCACCACGTGCTGCTGGAGCTGTCCAGGCCAGGGTCCGTCGCAAGAGGACTCTGAGCGGTGCTCTGCAGGAGCCACCCCAAAATGAATGAACTAATCCTCACAATATCCCTCTTGAAGCTGCGAAGTTGCCATGTGGGCGCACTTTCGCGCAGCGTTGCCTCACAGCGCGGGGGAAAATGCTCAAATGGAGCTGCTGCGCCCTAGCAGTCCCCCAAAGAAGGCTCCAACAAGGAAACACCGGCACGGGCTGCGGCGCACAGACCATTGCCTCCCTCGGTTTCACGACGCACTGCTTGGGCGCACGTGGGGTGTTTGTGATATTCACCTGCTTTCTGGGAGCGCATGCTGCAATGGCTGAAAGCCGCAACCGTCCCTTCGGGATCCCCGTGTGGGCGCAGGGAACTGCGTTCGCCCTTGGGTCAAACGTGATCAAAGGATTGAGCTGCGCTCGTTCGTTGGCACGTCCGACTGGCACGGACGAGGGTGTGCTGACTCCTCCTATCCATGTGCTCCGCCCCGGCATAGGACGCGCTTTCATGTACCGGAAAGGGGAGATCGCGTTACCAAGGCATCGTGCGACGCGGTGCGCACAAGGGGGCGGATCTGGGATGGGCTGCGGACTGCCTTGTGTAGACGGTGGTAACGCTGCGACTATCGACGTGGGGATGGCAAGGGGCCCGCGATGTGGTGCGGTCGCAGGCGAGCTGATCGGCAACGCTTTTTCGCCAATAGCGGTACAGAAAAGAAGAGCGATGCGGCCCTGGAAGTCGCTGTCAGCCTGACGGCGATCGTCTGGGCGCAAACTCGGCCTATTGTCGCCAAGAGCTCGGTGCTGGGCGCCCGCCCTCAGTATTTCCCCAGTTTCGTCATTGTCGATTCCAAAGTGGGCCATGGCGCGTATCAATTTCTGGAATGGATGTGGAGCGTCCCCATCACCTAAGTAGAGAGGCATAACTCGCTGGTGAGGAGCATTTGCCCAATTGGGCCCTGGTGGTGAACGTGAACGGGCCTAGGTGGGAATCCAGTGAGTGTTTCGCCATCCAATCCATGACGTGCAGTCAGTGCCCTGTTTCAATGCGGTGATGCGCGTTTAACCCTCTTCTATTCCCAGCATCCCGTCTCTAAGCAGATTGTACCTTGCCCCTTTCGCCAGGTACAGCATCAGGATATCTTCTCAAGGGGGTTCCTTTTCGATCAGTCCGTACATCAGCATTGCGCTGGGCATCACCGTCTCCTTGTTTCTCTGCGTGCTTGTCAGCCTTTGCAAGAGATTCCTGCTGCGCACCTCCTTGTGGCCATGGACCCAAAGAGTCCTGCCTGGATCCGCGAGCAATCAGGTAAGAATATTCCATGAGGCGATGCCCCATTGTGCCGCGCCCCAGTCCTCAGCAGCGCCCCACATTTTCCAACATCCGATTCATGGTGATCGGAGAAGCAGGCGATGGAAGTACAGTATGTTTTTGGACTCTGGACGAAGTTCCGCGTACTCCTCTTTAGCTCACCTCTCCAAGGTTTGGAGTTTATAAAATCCGATGCGAACAAGAACATTTGGAGTGCGCTGGCGACGTTCTTGGTTTCTGAGAGACACATGTACTCTTCATTGCGGCGCTATGACCATTTTGACCCCTGTCAAAGATGCCGTGCGAGGATCCGTTGCGATTTGCTCCTTCCCTGGGCCTATCGAGACCCCAGTGTTTGCGCTACAGGAAGCACTGCCGCCTCGACCACAATCTCGTGGATTGCCCAGGGAAATTGTGGAGTCGTTCCCATGCCACGAGTTTGTTCCAAACGAACACGCAAAAAGGCACAAGAACGATTCAGAGATTCTGAGCGGCGACCAGGACAGCCTGAGTAACACAGAAGACATAAAGCTGGAAACGGCGCCAAATGAGAATATGGAAGACGGGGAGAAGGCAAAATCAGAAGCAAACTGGAGTGCCGAGAGGTTGGTGCTGTAGATCGCTTGAATCTACAAGAGGACTTTCATGCAGTGATGCGTCAGTACGTTCGTGGTATCTTTTCCTGACTGCACTGGCTTGGAAGGCCGAATCGTTGTTTTTGCCGGCTGCCTCGACCCCGAAGTAAACATGCGGCTTTCACTGTGGAGCGCTAGCAGCAAACTGGTCACACAATCTGCACCTAACTTGCCACGCAGACAGCAAGAGTGTCTGATTTGCTTGTTGGGGATTCGCTCTGGATGGTGCAAAAAAAATGTCGGGCCCCAATGGGTCTGCTGCATTTCGGTTCCCCCTTGTCCTGCCTTCTCCCACTCCCTCTCGCACTGGAGAAATTGCGCGCGCAGCAATGAAGACGGATGGAACAGGTAGCAAGGTATTTGTGCTGGAATGGAGGGAATGGGGATTTGAACCGACGTCATCGGGGGCACGTGCTCATGGCAGCATTGGATCATTATCATTGGGCAATGCGCTTGTTGATGGTCAAGCAGTATGGACTTGCGGCGAGGCGCTCGCGGGGTTTCTGGTCACCGCGAAATAGAGGAAAGCCAGTCCATTCCCTCATCACACAGTTATGTAATGGGACGCTGTAAAGCGCTCGTCTCTGTGGCGACTTCTGGACCGTGTTCCAACGCAACAATGCCATTCCGTGATGACACTGCTGACGACAATGTGGTGTCTTTGCCGCAGTCTTGAAGGCCCATCCTGCAGCATCTGCATTTGCGAGTACGAGGCCGGCGACACCATTCGGACCCTCCCCTGTGCGCACGAGTTCCACATCAAATGCATCGACCAGTGGATGTCCCACCACCAGACGTGTCCCAACTGCCGGACACTGCTGGCTCCTGGCGCCAGGCGAAATTCTGATGCGCAGGACGGGAACGAGGGACTGGAGATTTCCCTGGTCAGCCAGGGAGGTCAGCAAGGCGAGAGCGACGGCAACCTCCAGGGCACGCCGCGGCTTGATCAGACGAGTTTGGGTTTGTCGCTTGCATCAGACTCGGCAGCAGCGCCCGAAGCGGCGACTCTGGTGTGAAGAGCTGGTGGGCGTGGACAGTTTTCACATAGTCAGGAGATCGAAGCACCGCAGTGTAGTGCAGTAATGCAGAACGTGGTCGACCCGCGAGTCCCTCCAAATTCCGCCCAGGCGGGGAAGTTCATTTGCCCGGGGCGCACGCACCACGTTGAGCATTCCTCACTCAAGGGAGTGAAGCTGCGACCCGCCGAAGCTCGTGGCAATAGTCAGGACCGTCAATGCAACACCCTCGTGGGTGCAAAAGATGCTGCAAGCACGTCTGCTAGGACGTGCGCCGCACAGTGAGCGACATTGGCCTGCTCACGCTCCCCTGACCATCGTTCCATCAATAGCACGCGAATGACGCGCACTGTCCACCACGGATGCGAACTCCCTAACTGATCCAACGTCTTAACTGTGCGGGCGCCCACATCTTCATCATCGTACTGCAGGCCTTCGCGTCATGCGGCGGTGAACATCGATCCACGGCGACTTTGGCCGTTTATTGTAAGTTCCCTTGGGTGCAAGCCTTGCACCACGCGAGTTCCATCAAACGGCGCTCTCCCCTCCCACCCAGTCGGTACCGCATTCCCGGAGCATTACGAGCGCCTGGCGCATCCGCCGAGGGACGCAGTCCGAGGGCTGCGCCTCCGCGCCTGCGGCAGGAGCGTTTTGATGCGGTGACGGGCGCCCTCCCGTGCGGTCGCATCCCGCCCTCCCACGAGTGCCCTGGTAATGCGCCCCCGCCCCCCAAATGCCTCCGATCCCGCCCCCAACCATCTCCGGCGAGGGCCGTACCCCATCGCGTCATGGCGGTGGGGCCAACGACACAAGGGCGGACGTCGGAACGCGGACGTCAACCCCGGGCGCCGTCGGGCCCGCCGCGCGTCACCTCCGCTTCCCTGTCACATGACGCGGACCTGTCAGCTTCGAGATACTGAGTACAAAAGTGGGGCAGGGGCGGGCCATGCCCGAGCCCCCGCGGCGCCTCCCAGGGCAGACCCGCGGCCCCTCTGCCCCCCGCTCCCAGTTCCGTCTTCGCAAAGGGACTCGTGTGGCCTGCCAGTTTCTGGGTCCGCAATGCCGTTCGAGACGCCGCACTGGCCGCATGGGTGGACCGTCCAGGCCGCGTCGCCGCGCGGCTGCGCCACGGAGACGGACGGCCGGCTGCCGTACTTCCTGATCGCTCAAGGGTATATCGGGCAGGGGATGACAGGCGAGGTGGTGCAGGCGTGGGACAGCCGGGTGGCCGACCCGGCGCGGGCGCAGGTGGCGGTGAAGCTCATACCGCGCGGGGCGGCGGTGGACGAGTATGTGAAGCGCGAGGTGCTGCACCTGCACAACCTGTGGCACGCGCATATCGTGCTCTTCAGGGAGGTCTGCCTGTCGCCCAGCCACCTGTGCATCCTGATGGAGCCCCTGGCGGGAGGCAGCGTCCTGGACCACGTGCGGAAGTGCGGGTGGGTGGAGGGCTGTCCCGGCGGCTCCTAAGGGCCCTCCGGCCGCCCGCGGGCGCCGGCCGCGTTCTCCAGAGTTCGCGCTGTTGAGGTGTTTGCCGTTTTGGATTAATGTTGTGAGGGGAAGGGTCGCTGCGCTGCCCGCGATGGCGCCGAAACTGCCAAGGAGCCGTTGCGGGGATCCGGAGACGCCGCGCTGCCCGGGAGGCTCCTGATCTGTTTTTCTAGTTTGCCGGCACGGCGCGCGGGGAGTCTTTCCGAAATGCCGATACGGGCAGCCTGGCGAAGTACTTCAACAGGGCCGAAGCACGGCGGAAGCAACAAATCCGCAAAGGCGTGTGGAGTCAATCAGCGGCGCCGGCGACCGCCCTTCGAGCGTCCCAGGGCTTCGAATTGCTCGCTGCGCGGGTGTCGGCTCGCAGTGCACGTCGGCGATCGGGGATTCAGCCGGCTTGGGGGTTTGGGCGCTGGGCGCCGCGTCCCGTACGTGAGCAGTACTAATACTCGACTGTACCCCTGCGGGTGGGCCAGGCGCCTGGAGGAGAGCCTGTCCCGGTGGTTCCTGCAGCAGGCCGTGATGGCCGTGGACTACAGCCACATGATGGGCGTCTGCAACCGCGACATCAAGCTGGCGCACCTCCTGATGGCCGACCCCTCCGAGGCGTGCGTCAAGCTGATCGACTTCGGCGCCTGCAAGCACGACGACGACAGCGAGCCCGACACCTATATCGGCACACGGTCCTACATGGCGCCGGAGGTCCTGGCCTGCATGCCGGACCCCAAGTCGCGCCGGCCCCGCTGGTACGACCACGGGAAGGGCAGGTACGATGGCAGGCTGGCGGACATCTGGTCGCTGGGGATATGCCTGTTCCAGATGCTGTTCGGGATTGACGAGCAGCTGGTGCTGGAGCACGCCCCGTCCAAGAGGAGCTCCGTGGTGTTTCCCTGCGGCGAGGGGGACGGCGGACGAGCCGCGGTGTCCCTATCGCCCGAGTGCAGGGACTTGCTGAACCGGGTGCTGCAGTACCTGCCGGAGAACCGCCTCGGCATGGACGGCATCTGGGCGCACCCCTGGTTCGCCAAGGACCTGCCGCCCGGCAGCGGGAGGGAGCACAACCTCAAGCTGGCGCTGGCGAAGACGGAGGAGATGCACAGCGTGCCGGGGGCGCAGTCTGAGCGCGAGATACTGCAAATCCTGAAGGAGGCGCGGACCGCCTGAAGAGCGTGGGTTCTTGTTGCTTTTATTTATTTTCTTTGGGTAGTAGGGCCTGTGGTCCTCGCTCTTGCAGGGTATGGGGGGGAAAAGAGCAGTTGCTGGGAAGTTCCACTGGGGTGCAGTGGCCCAATAAGCAGTACACGTGGGTGGGTGTTTTCTGCCACACACTGAGCGGCGTTCTGGACAGCCCTGGTTGTACCCGTGTACAGTCCTTGAAATGAGTATTGTGTGGGATCCTTTGGCATTTGCGCACGAGGACCGTGACAAAAGGTCGCAACAAATGGCAATTCTGTGCTGCAAGCCGTTCCTGTTGGCTGAGCGCCCCGTCCGTATTGTTGGCAGGCCACCTAACAGGTTGGCATGCGTCCATCGAGGTTCATGTGCAGACATATGGTTGCAGTGCCACCAAGTGGTCGTCCTTCCTGCGTTCTGTGGGCAGAATCAGACTTTGGTGCAAGAACTATTATTGTTGCCCGCCCCAGCTGCATTAAGCCCTGTTTGGTTCTCCCTGACATCCAGCAATGAACTGCATCTTTGGGCCCCATGTTGTCGATGCCCCTCAGATCCTGGGCTGGTGCAACTCGCTAACGTCTTGCTACAGTGCGTGGTTGCCCCTCTGTGCAGTTGCATACGCCCATCGATGAAGGACATGGGTATGCGACTGACATTTGGGAAGTCCCTTTCACCAAGGAACAAGCCTGCCACCAGCTGTGCAGCAGCACGTTCTGTGCATGCCACGGCAAGGTGCTTTTGGAGCCCTGCTCTGCCTCCAATCCTCTCAACTAGGATGTACTGCTTATGATAAGTACGTCAATGGAGGTCATTCTTTAGAGACTAATCAACTTTGAACATGGGCAGTACTACTGGCAGACCTTATAGCCAGTAGATGGCATCTCCTGTGCCGCAGCATTGAGACAATCTCTGTTTTGCCGCAGCAAAAACTCCTCAGCACTCAAGTGCAATACATGAAGCACACCATTATGGGATGGCATGCTTGGTCACTGACAACGCTGCGTCCATAATTGCAAGACAAGGGTCTTCTATTCACAATGCGTCGTTTGAATTTTGCAAAATTCCAGGGTGCTTTAGAACACTGTCAAAATGAGTTGAACTGGTCATTCCTGAACGTCAACAGATTTACTAATCTTGTTGAGATGGTGAACTGACAGCATCCCAGTACACAAAGACATGAACAATCCCATGTTGCTGAGCTCTTCTCCACCGCACTATGTTCTATTCCGTGTCGTGCAGCTATGATTGCAAAGCGCTGCATCCCACAAAAGGAAGCCGCTTTCCTGTTGCACTGATTTGTGTCAAGATCAGATGATAAAAAAACTGCAGCCCAAGCCAGTGATGGCTGCAAGGGTACACGCATGCGCAATTGCTGGCTGGCACAGATGTCGGCAGAATCACATCGTAATAGATTCATGCGGAACAGTGGACAATTCACACATGGTTTGCTGAACACATGCTGCAAGGTGAGCTTGATGCTTTTCCCAAGGGGGCGAGTGGGATTTGGTGGCTTCTTGTTGGATTCCATCGCCAGTGCTTCTTTTCGAGCGATCGCGATGTTGATCTCCACCATCACCATGTTCTGCCACGAATGGAGATGGGGTTACCACAATGGAAATACTGTTGTCCCTCAGCTGGACAGCTGAAGCTCCAAGGACATGCACATTTGGGTGCCCGTGCAAACACAACGGATGATTGATTCTCGCAGCCAAGGAAAACAGTGCTTGAAGATTGGCCGAATAAGGTTTGCCAGGAGATTGCAGCGGTTTCTATGGGCTCCTTTACTTCTGAGTACTATCGCAAAGTGCCTTACAACCGCTGAAGTCATGTGTGCGTTCATGGGCAATGCGAGGCATTTGCGCACCCATTCTGTTTGCCAACTTCGGCGTGCAGATTCCACAAGCCGTACCTACGGATAAACGACAATGCACTACTACCTCTGTTCCGTCCGCTATCCAAATCACGCAAGTGCAAGTCAAAAAACGTGCGAGTCAAAAAATTCGACCAAAGCAACTGCAATGCGCTATGTTGATATCTATCTGTAGAGCCCTTAAGCGTGGAAAACGGTCATGCCGTTCTTGAGATACGCTAAGAGGAGCACAGGCGCTACTTTCCTTTCGTCGGGGCCTAGAGCGGCGTCCGGGGGGCTAGTCTTGCCCTTTGGATGAGGCGGATCGAGCTGAGTCGTGTCTAGGAAATCTGAATGGCCTGGTGGTCTAATGTTTCTAATATTATAAGCTGGGAACCCGACTTGGAGTGCGCCGGAAATGTTTTTTTTAGAGTCTGACTCAGAGTTCTTGTGTAAGAATCGACCCCCGTGACATGGCGGTTACGTGAGTGGCGGGGCTCTTCGAGTCGGGTGCAGGCGTCCACGGGTGGGCCGGTGGTCGCGCTCGAGGGCCGCCGACGGGAGGCGCGCAGCTATCGGTGTTGCGGCTGAGGTGCGCCATACCCGCTTACCCTCGAGGCGCACGTTTCCAGCGCGATCCCGCGTCGTCGCAGCTGCAATGGAGATCATCGCCGGCGCCGATCGTCACAGCAGCCATGCCCCGCGCCCAAACGCGCGGCTCGGCGTTGCCGTTCCCACAAGGGCTCCAGTCAGGCCGCGGAGCGACTCCAGAGCCCTCCAGCGCTCTGCTGTGGTAACCATCGGCACAGCGACTGCGGCCCCGGATGCAATTAGCGCGACCCTCAAGACCAAGCGTTCGGGGCCCGCGGGCCCTGGAGTGAAGTTTGGGAAAGCGGAGAGCGGGGTTGCGGCTCCCACCCGGATCGGGTGCTGTGCTTGAGCGCGAGCACGGGGTGGGGCATGGACTTCCGCCGTCGCGATCACAGCGCGAGGGTGTGTGGCAATCACGTGCCGTGGGTGTCGAATGCTCTTTTGGGTCGATTGAGGGCAATGCGGTTGCAGCAATGGCTTGCGAATCACGCCCGTGGCGACGGCACACTGCGTCGATGGTGGTGGATGAGCCATAAGAGGCCTCACCGAACCCAGCGCCAGCTTTCGAGGTGCGGAGTTGTGCGTTGCGATAGTGGGACACGATCCCGCGTCGTCGCAGCGGTGATGACGGCCAGCAGCAGCGCCGATGGCCGCAGCGGCAATGGCTCGGGTCCCAAAACTCAATGGTCGAAGTTGCAGCCCCACGCGAGCGCTCCCGCCGGCGCGGGGCGCTGCTCCATTTCCCTGAACGCTCTCTGCCGTGACAGCCATCGGCACGGCGAAGGCGGCAAGCGAGGCAACCACCGCCCTCAAGGCGAGGTGTTGAGGCCCCCGGGCCCAGGAGTGAGTTGATGGGTTTATTGCGGAGATCGGTGGCGTGGGTACCGCCCAGGCCGATGGGCGTGTGCTTGAGCGCGAGCACGGGTTGGGGTGAAGACCCCTCCAGCGCGCGGTGTGTTGACAATCACAAGCCAGGACTGTCGAATGTGATTCGGGGTCGGTGCGTCAATTAGCCAATCTGGCTGCGGCGGCGGTTTTGCGATCCAAACGTACGCGTGGAAACGGGATCCGCGGAAGGGGTTCCCCGGGCCGCATAGAGGGTGCAAACTCTCGCGGCGGTGCTGCGCAGCAGTGGGGCAGTGATGGTGGCAATGGACACTGCAATCAAAGCACAATTGTCGTCCAACTCAAAACGTCAACTGCGCAGCCCAGCCACCGAGTGAGCAGGCTTTTAATGGATAATGCAGGAACGCAAAAGTGCAGAACGTCGGGCCGAAGGCCCGACTTCTAGACTGGTTTGGTATACAATGAGGATTCAGCTCAATTCAAAATTGAATCCACAGAGCAAAGATGCGGGCTTGCCGCAGATTTTTGGATGTCAACAAGGATTGTGCGTGTGTTGTGGCTGAAGGCGAAAAGACACCTAGATTAGTGCAATAGCATTGACTAATCGGTGCAACAAGGTTAGGAAGGCCGTGCATACTGATGCTAACACGAGAACGGCTTATAATCCTAACTAGGTTGGTGACAACATGGTGAATCGTTGAAATTTACAATTTCAAGGCATGAGTCAACATAGCGGAAGAGATGGTCCACAAAGAATGTGACTACGGTTATGCCAAATTCTGGAAAGTTTGTAGCATTGCTTCTTTATTGCCTACGACAAAATTCTTGAATAATTTCGGGGAAATAGGCTTACACGCACGGGGACAAGCTGAGCACAAAACTACAGGAATTGAGGCCATGACGAAGAGGGATGCTTTCGATATGACTGGGCAAGTCCTGCTGTACGATGATGACCAATGTAACCAAGATCCCCACCACCCCAAAACCGACCAAGGAATCCGAGTTTGGTGAGATATTTACTAATTGAGTCGATCTTGCAAAAGTTATGGCAAGACTGGATAACGGGCAAGTCTTATGGAACGGATGTAGTATGGTGGATTGTTGTGAACGGCGCAAACCCAATCATCATTGCCCCAATACACTGCCCGCTGTGGCACACGAGCTAGTGCCTGCGCCAGTCTTGATTCCGCCATGGGAGGTCCGCATCGCCAACGGCAAGTTGCTATCAGGCCATCAGGGAGGTTTCACCACATCTTGTTTCCCTTGCGTATTTGCCGCAGCCAAGAACACCCAAGCATTGATTCTATCCACACCTTGGGGAGCTACGGGCGTCATACATCTAATGAAGGACCTGGTCACCACATTTGGAGCAAGAAGGGGCTTGCAGCATTGGCCGCCGAAGACGCTCTTCTGTGCATCAACCCCTGTGCGGCGGGGTATCGCACAACATAGAGGGCGTCTGCCAGCAGCACGAGTTTTGGAGCTCGCCCCAAACACCAGATGCCAAATGTTTACCGGGTAAACGCGATGAACAACACCATTCTCATTGAAAACCTCCTTTCTACCTGGAACAGTCCCCAGGCGCTGGAATTATCCACAATGGATAACAAATGTGTGTGAAAAGTGGGTATAGCCCTGGGGCGTTGGATCCTTTTCAAGGCACGATTGCTTGTTCTCTGAGTTATCTTCCATTCGTTGGAAGAAA